CACTGAATTGTTGAAGGGCCCCAGGGGTGGCTAACCTGTGGCTCTCCAGCTGTTGTGGAGCTACATTTCCCATGAGGCATTGCAAAGATGGGGAGTTACTGACTTGCAGAGGCATGATGGAACTTGTAGTCCTGCAGCGGCTGGAGAGCCGCAGGTTGGCCACCCCTGGTTGAAGCCATTCTGGATCCAAAAGCTACTAGAAATCTAAGTTTTCCCATTCTCCATTTCCAGATGAATGGTTTGACCCAACCTTGCGGACAGCTTGGCCCGCATGCCCATGGAAAAACATCATTAAATTGGAAATGCATCTACTGAATACGATCGTGATGTACAGAAAGAAAAAGAAATGCCCCAAATAAACTGTGTCCTAAAATAACTGGAAAATGGGGAAATAATAAGATCTCCCTGGAGCCAATAAATGTGAGGCGCACACCAGCAATTACACGCTCATCTGACAATCTCACAAGACATAACAGGGGACAGATGACACCTCGGAGAGGCGAGGATCTGGGCGCTCTCTGCGTTCCCCGCCTCGTCTGAAGTCTGAATGTGTTCCCGGCTGAAAAGGTCACATTTTAAGAGGTCGCACTTCATGTTCTGCCATCACTACGCTCCAACAAAAAGGCGAATCAAATCAAATCTCTCACTTTTCTTTCGTTCATTAGTCTGAACAATCTGCAAAAATTATTATTTTTCACTTGCATTGAGAAGAACGCTCTATCTTTAACACTTTCATCACCATGGGGTCGTGGACATCTTGATGCCCAGGCCAGGATTTAGCAGCATTGGTATGTGCCAGTTTTACTGTGTAACGGAACCGGACCCAGACTGCACTTGGGTATTTCCGTTAGTCTCCCGCTTCCCTGTCCGAACACAAATCCACGGACACCACCGCTGACCATACAGGAAATAGACAGCACCAGACTCTTAGAACAGGAAGTAAAAATGGTTTATTTCAACACAAACACAAGATATATACACAGGGCGGGGAAATACATCCAGGAACAGGAAACACATCAGCAGGCCGTCCCATCAGGGGGGAGGGCTGCCGGAAACACCCCCATCAAACCAAGACACACAATAGAACAATGGGATGCAGCACCTGACAGTGAACAGTGAAGCAGTGAACAATGGACAACCCCCACACCAATACACAAACATTACATCCCATAATAGTTTGCTAGAACAATGGGATGCAGCCACATGGCAGAGAACAATGAACAATCCCCACACCAATATTAGAACATTTTACCCTGTACCCCTAACAGGCACAGGGTGGCTTACACATAATGGGGAGATAGGGAGCTGAGACAGGGGTCTTCCCACCTCTCCAAAGGGGGCTTTGCCCCATGAGCCCACCACCCAAAGTCACTCCCGTCACATTGTGGTAAAAGAAATTTGCATACCTTTTTTTTTGGGGGGGGGGGGGTAGTAGCATAAGACTTAAAGAAAAAAAAAAAAAACATTTTTTTTTTTTTTAATGGATGTAGTTGTATCTGACAATTACTTTATTAAACAAATTGTACTACAGATCCTGTTGCAACCTGAAGAATTGCCAGATAGAAGCCTTTACTGCACGAATGCCACAAAAAAGCCTGGTTACAATATGCCCAAGAGCACCTTGACACTTTTTTGTGGCTTTGGCAACTCGGTCATGCAGCTAATTTTTGTTCAAGTATCTTTGTATTGACCTCCTTGAACCGTCTTTTTCCAGAGCAGCCTGCATTTCTCCTGAGGTTACCTGTGGGGTTTTTCTTTGTATCCAGAACAATAATTCTGGCAGTTGTGGCTGCAAACTTTTTTGGTCTACCTGACCTTGACTTGATCTCAAGAGATCCCGAAGGTTGGTTATAGGTTGGGATGGTTGACATTTTTTGCAGGGATGCACTGGATGCGTTTATTGCCATTTTGCTATAGCTGGGCGTCATGTGCATCCTTGTGCATTTAAGGAGGGGAGGGCTCCCTCCAGGCACACCTGTATAGGTTAAGACCTATGCATTGATATAATGTGCTCCCACTGTACAGGCCCTGGAAATTTCACAGTTAGGACCATAGTATACAGAGGCCCCTTGATGGAGGACTGCGGCTTATGTATGTATTTGCATATGTGTGCAAACAAAACCCTCTGTTTTAACGCAGACTGTCAGACAGGGCCAAATTGGTCGTTTTGCAGGCTAGCTGGTAAGTGTGCTGGGAAATCCTTTGTGTGTCTACAAGTTGCATTGCCCTCCCATGTGCACCTTAACCCTAAGGCTGGTTATAGGTCGGGACGTTTGCCATTTTTTGTATTAAGAAGCATAATATTATTATACAGGATTTATGGCGCCAACAGTTTGCTCAGCGCTTTACAATATAGCGGGAGACAATACAGCAACAATAAAGTTCAATACAAGAGGGTTAGGAGGGCCTGATCCTGGGAGCTTACAATCTAGGAGGGAGGGGCTAGTGATACAAAAGGTAGTAACTGTGGGGGATGGACTGGTTGGAAGAGTAGAAGATTTCATGATTAGCTGAGGGCAGGATAGGCTTCCCTGAAGAGAGAGGTTTTCAGAGATCGCCTAAAAGTGAGCAGAGTAGGTGATAGTCTGATAAATTGGGGTAGAGAGTTCCAGAGGATGGGGGAAGCTCTGGAGAAGTCCCGGATATGAGCATGGGAGGAGACAAGGGAGCTAGAGAGCAAGAGGTCTTGCGAGGAGCGGAGAGGACGGTTTGGGTGATATTTGGAGACAAGATTGGTGATGTAATTTGGGGCGGAGTTATAAATGGCTTTATATGTGATTGTTAATGTTTTGAATTTTATCCATTGGGCAATGGGAAGCCAGTGGAGGGATTGGCAGAGAGGGGTGGAGGACACTGTGTGGAGGCCAGTGGAGGGATTGGCAGAGAGGGGTGGAGGACACTGAGTGGAGGTCAGTGGAGGGATTGGCAGAGAGGGGTGGAGGATACTGAATGGAGGCCAGTGGAGGGATTGGCAGAGAGGGGTGGAGGACACTGAATGGAGGCCAGTGGAGGGATTGGCAGAGAGGGGTGGAGGACACTGAATGGAGATCAGTGGAGGGATTGGCAGAGAGGGGTGGAGGACACTGAATTAAGGTCAGTGGAGGGATTGGCAGAGAGGGGTGGAGGACACTGAGTGGAGGACACCGAGTGGAGGACACCGAGTGGAGGGATTGGCAGAGAGGGATGGAGGACACTGAGTGGAGGCCAGTAGAGGGATTGGCAGAGAGGGGTGGCAGATACAGAACGGTTAGTAAGGTGGATGAGTCTGGCAGCAGCAGCATTCATGATAGACTGGAGGGGGGATAGCCTGCGATGAGGTAGACCAATGAGGAGGGAGTTACAAAAATATGACAATACTTGAACAAAAATGAGCTGCATGGTTGAGTTGTCAGAAAGAAGCCTTTACTGTGCCAATGCCACAAAAAATCCCAGTTACAATATGCCCAACACCACCTTGACACGCCTCACCGGATGTTTGTGTGACAATGGCGCAATAAAGGCTTCTTTCTGGCAACTAGACCATGCAGCTCATTTTTGTTCAAGTATTATTGTATAAACTGCACCGTCTTGATCCAGAAGACTCACAATTTCTCTGGCAGCTGTGGCTTCAATCTTTCTTGGTCTACCTGACCTTGGCTTGGTATCAAGAGATCCCCGAACTTTCCACTTCTTAATAAGTGATTGAACAGTACTGACTGGCATATTCAAGGCTTTAGATATCTTTTTATATCCTTCTCCATCTATTCCATTACCTTGTTACGCAGGTCTTTTGACAGTTAATTTCTGCTCCCCATGGCTCAGTATCCAGCCTGCTCAGTGCATCCACGTGAGAGCAAACAAACACATTGACTGTATATAGACAGACACTAATTGCAATTTAAAAAGCCACAGATGTGGGGAAAAAAACCTTTAATTGTCATTTAACCGCTTGGCGCCGGAGCCTCCGGACCCTTTAAGAGTTTCAGAAGCTGGGAGGCGGGGCAGGGTTTTAAGGTCATGTGACCGCCGTGATTCGGCATCACATGATTGGAAAAGACTTCGATTGAAAGGGGAGATCGGGACGGGACCTTTCCGGGAGTAGCGGACATACGTGCTGGGAGCGCGCACTCTCAGCACATACGTATGTTTTAATTGTATGCAAATATCCAGCCGCTTAGCATCAAGGCCCAGACACAGAGAGGCCCCATATTTGTGTACGATTGGTGTCAAGGAGTTAACTTGTGTGTGTCACCTTGTGTGTCTGTACCAAGGCCGAACATTCCAGGGGAGGGAAACTTCTGATCCGGGCCGTTTGGGCTGCAAGAATGCAGCCAGAGAGAAGGAGAAATGATTGCATTTACAGCCTTTATGGGTGTAAAAGCAATCAGTGTTAAAAAAAAAATATCTTCCTCACTCCCCACAAGTAGTACAGTGTCACCATGGTGACATTGTACTGCTAGGGTGACAGTACGTTAAAAAACAAAAAAGATAAAAATGTAAAAAAAAAAAAAAAAATTTAGAAAAATTTAGTTTTTGGTTATATACTAATTTGGGTTATTTTTTGTTTTACTAAAAAGATAATTGAATACATTTTGGCCAATATTTATGAAGAATGATTATTTGCAAAATTTTATAAAGAAAAACTTTTTTTAAAGTTTTTTTGGACTTTTTCATTTATATAACAAAAAAATAAAAATCCCAGCGGTGAATAAAAATCACCAAAATAAAGTTTTATCTGTCTAAAAAAAAAATGCTAAAAAATTCCTATGGGTACAGTGTTGCATGACCGCGCAATTGTCATTCAAAGTGTGATAGCGCTGAAAGCTGAAAATTGGCCTGGACAGGAAGGGGGGGGGAAGTGTCCGGACTGGAAGGGGGGGGGGGGGGGGGAAGTGTCCGGACTGGAAGGGGGGGGGGGGGGGGGAAGTGTCCGGACTGGAAGGGGGGGGAAAGTGTCCGGACTGGAAGGGGGGGGGGGGGAAGTGCGGGGAAAGTGTCCGTACTGGACTGGAAGGGGGGGAAAGTGTCCGGACTGGAAGGGGGGGAAAGTGTCCGGACTGGAAGGGGGGGAAAGTGTCCGGACTGGAAGGGGGGGAAAGTGTCCGGACTGGAAGGGGGGGAAAGTGTCCGGACTGGAAGGGGGGGAAAGTGTCCGGACTGGAAGGGGGGGAAAGTGTCCGGACTGGAAGGGGGGGAAAGTGTCCGGACTGGAAGGGGGGGAAAGTGTCCGGAAGGAAGGGGGGGAAAGTGTCCGGACAGGAAGGGGGGGGGAAAGTGTCCGGACAGGAAGGGGGGGGAAAGTGTCCGGACAGGAAGGGGGGGGAAAGTGTCCGGACAGGAAGGGGGGGGAAAGTGTCCGGACAGGAAGGGGGGGGAAAGTGTCCGGACAGGAAGGGGGGGGGGGGGGGGGGGAAGTGTCCGGACAGGAAGGGGGGGAAAGTGTCCGGACAGGAAGGGGGGGGAAAGTGTCCGGACTGGAAGGGGGGGAAAGTGTCCGGACTGGAAGGGGGTGAAAGTGTCCGGACTGGAAGGGGTGAAACTGTGTGTTGTAAGTGTTTTACTAGGGGGCGGGGGTGATTCGCTGTAAGCACACTGATCAGGATGGCTGTGCTGTGCGGTGTGCCTGAGCTGACAGGAAGGAAGATTGTTTGTAAACAAAACAGTCTTCCTCCCAATCGGTGATTGCCGGTAATCACCAGGCGCAGCAGGTAATCACCGGCCGGAACCCGGTGATTGACATCCGCGGTCGCGAATGGCGGCGCAGGTAGGGCGCATGCATGCCCTCTACCCGGTGAATGCAAAATCACATATATATGCACATGATTTTGTGCACCCGTGCCGCCGTGTAGCAGTATATCTGCTATACGGCGGCGAATAAGCGGTTAAAGAAACAGAAGACGATACAAAAGGTGCAGTTTAATCCAGAGGGCCACAAGGGCCCCGCTCGGGCAATCTCAGCTACACGGCTCTCTAGCAGGACCCCTATCAGGGAGAGGAACACCGCAGGACCAGGAAACAAGCTGGAGGTATATATTCCATAAAGAGTATTGCCGGAACAAAGCAGCCACAACTGAGATGACGCACTTCCAGGAAATGTGGAGGCGCCATAATTCCTGGGACAGGTTGTTTCTAAACTGCTGAGGGCACTACATGTCCCAGGAAGCACAGACTCCATGATATACCATTTACTGCAGATAGGTTACACTTTAATGGAAATATAGTACAGTAAGCGTGTAAAAAGTCCCATTAATTGCTTTCAGGTAAGTGTTACCATACCAAATGACACCAGCCACTCACTGCAATATACTTCAATGCAGTTTCCCGAAAATCACTCCAAACATCTCAATAATGATCACACACACTGCCCTCTACTGGCCACTAACACAAACTACATCATACAAATACAACCTGCTAGGACTATAAGGACTTGTGTACACGGGGCGTTTGGAAAAAACTCTTCTGAATGATGGAAACTGACTGCTGGAAAACGTACAGTTTAGCCGCGTTTGCGTTTAGAAGAGTTTTAAAAGATAACCTCAGGAGACCTTCCCAAATGCCCAGAATGCACTGAAAAAACAGTAAATAATTAACTATTTCAGACATTTTGAGAGAAATAGAGAGAGCGGAAGCAGAGAGAGCAGTATGTGTGGAGATGACCGGTCTTTTCTGGTTGTAGTCACTATGGATCCCATCATGAGCATAATGCGGCGCGTTCTACCATTGTTTCCTTCACGCGACACCTGGAACGGACTGCGCTGGTGTACCGGGTCCATTTGAATACATGGAAAACGCTTTGCATGCATTTCTGATGATGAAAAAAAGGCTCCGGACAGCATCTGGATATGGAACAGTTAAAAAACGCTTATTAACACGGTTGACCGCGTTTGCAAGCGTTTACACGCATTTACAAGCATTTGTGTTTAAAATGCTGGTAAAATCTACTCCGCACCAAACAACCTACTGTAAACTCAACTGCCTGTAACCCCCGGTTCACATCTGTGCGGGTGGTGCCGCCGCGGATCCGCACGAAAATCCGTGCAGCCGCACCACCCGTACAGAGAATTGCGGACCCGCGGGCGGGTGCCACTGGACAGGAAGGGGTTAATGTGAGTGACGATCAAAGGGTTAACTGGGAGTGTTTTTACTAGAGGGCGGGGGGGGGGGGGGTGTGCTTCACTGTAAGCACACTGATCAGGATGGCTGTTCTGTGCAGCGTTTCCGAGCTGACAGAGAGGAAGACTGTTTGTAAACAAAACAATCTTCCTCCCCGTTCTAGTGGCGCGCCACCCGCGCTGGAAAAGGCAACCGTACTGGGAACCTCGGCTGCGTTTTCCAAAGTAGTGCCGGGACTTCTTTCCTGCGTGTCACAAGCACAGGAGTCCATTCAAATGAATGGGCTCTCGTGCCCATGCAAAACGCGGCCCGCACTGCCGCATAGGTGTGAACCTGGGGGTAAACGACGATTTGTACATGGACACAAAGGAAAACATTAGGGAGAGTTCAGGGGCTGCTGGAAAAAAAAAAAAAACGCAGAAAAGCTCCTGAACGTCGGTTTATCAGCTGCAGTGTACATGAGCCCTCAGCATTAAAAAAAAAAAAAAAAAAAAATAAAAATTTATATATATAAAAAATATATATATATATATATATATATATATATATATATATATATATATATATATATATATATATATATATATATATATAAAAAAAATATATATATATATATATAAAAAAAAAATATATATATATATATATATAAAAAATATATATAAAAAATATATATATATATATAAAAAATATATATATATATATATAAATATATATATATATATATATAAAAATATATATATATATAAAATATATATATATATAAAATATATAAAATATATATATATATATATATATATATATATATATATATATATATATATATATATATATATATAAAAATATATATAATATATATATATAATAAACTATATATAAAATATATATAATAAAAATAAATAATATATATATATATATATATATATATATATATATATATATATATATTTGTTATTATCATTATTATTAATAATAATACTAATAAATAGTGTGATAATACTTGGCACCCAATCAAAATTCATCTTGTCTTGGCCAAATGCAGGCCATAGACGGGTCGAAAATCGGCCGAAAAAAAAAAATCGGCCAATTTTCGCACCGTTCGTGGGTTAGTTGGTCGGCCGTTTTTCAGGATTTTGGCACTTTTTTTTTTTATCGGCGAAGTTGGAAAAAAACTCGGCCGATTTTCCCGGCAATGATGGGCAAATCGGCCGATCTTTCTACAAAAAATCTGCGCATGGAAGGGGGAGAAAAAGAATAAGAATTCCAGTCCGCTATTATATTTTACATGAAAGTCTTGCGGTTGCAACAAATGTATCTATTTGTATCCAAATAAAACCATCTGTGTCCGAAATGGATACAAATGGATACATTGTTGTAACCGCAAGACTTTTCATGTCAAATATAATAGCGGAGCTCTCTGCAGGGACAGAAGTAATTAAATGCGAGCAGCAGGACAGGACAGGACAGGACAGGACAAGACAGGACAGGACAGGACAGGACAGGACAGGACAAAAATCGGCCGTTTTTTTTTACCATTGGTAGGAACGTCGGCCTATTGAACGACCGATTTTTTTTTTTAAACGGCTGGTTTTAGACCCGTCTATGGCCTGCAAAACTCCATCCACATTATCTTTTTTTTTTTTAATTTAGAATGGAGCAGATAGTTGAATCTCTAATCTATATCTTGTTTAAAGAAAATATATAGTATCATCTATTACTATATGAAGTTCTGATTCACCAGACGATACAGCCAACCAGCAAATACCGGCTGTAAATCACAAGGGAACCATGTCAAACATTACACTTAACCTCCCTGGCGGTCTGATTATTTTTCAGATTTTTGGTGCTCAAAGCGGTACATTATTTTGCATGGAAATATGTATTTTTTTATTGTAGGCTGTAATTTTTTAGGAATAACTCACTGAAATCTGTCCGAACAAGAGTCTAGTAAACATCCCGGGGAGGATAAAATTTGAAACACGAAATCATAAATTATAATTTAAGAAATAATCATAAAAAATAATAATATAATAATAAATGTAATTCAATAATATAATCAAACCAAAAACACTGAAATGTGAAATATAGCGCCAAGTTCGCCCATCGCTGAGCTCAGTCGCAGAATCGTTTTCAGTGTCTGATGAGGAATTTCCCCCACCAATCATTATCACTCAATTCTGCAAGTGGTTCTGATTTACTATCGCTGTTCTCTAGCCGGTCTAAAACTGCGTCTGACCTAAAGGGATGCTTTTTGGACGCCATGGACGTTTCTCAGTTTCCAGGCAGAAAGAACAGTAAAAATGCAGGCAGGGCGCCGGACAAAGCACTCGGGACAACATGTATGTGAAATGGTTTGATACAGCAATGTTTTACTATGAAAAATTTGTTTGGAAAAAAATTACATTTTTTAAAATTTTCGAATTTCGGCGGCGGCACCCGTACGTCCCGACGTCATAGGGACCAGAACACGGAAGCCGGATTCTGGCATCAGCCGGAGGAGATGGCCGGGGACGCTGCAGGGGACACATCGCAGGACAAGGTAAGCTCTGCAGGGACTCCCTATGCAGCGCCGCAGGGTAAGCCCGAGTGTAGCTCGGGGGGGTTTACCGCTTTTGGTACTGAAATTTTCACTCGGGAATACCGCCAGGGGGGTTAAATAAAATAACTAAAGCAAAAGAATATTTTTCTTTTTTATTTTGGACTTGAGTGGAGAGCATTTAGACCCCCATCGGGTTTGCACTGCCGTCTGTGTCCCTAGTAGGGAGATTCACCCTCTCTAACAAGGGTTGGACAAAATTATAGAAACACCAGGTAAAAGAGCGAAACAGTTCCGTAATATGATGTTGGACGGCCTTTGGCATCCAAGACGGCCCGAATTCCCTTCGGAATTGACAAATAGAAGTCTTGGATGGTGGATAACGGAACCTGATGCCGTTATTCCAGTTCTCGCAGAGATGCCGGAGACGGAACACAAGCCTGAACCTTGTTCTCCGAAACTGACCATAGTGGCTCTGATTAGGGGTACCACCAGTCCTTCTGTATGGGGCCCAGACCAGGCAACTAGCTGAATGGGCTGTGGGCAGGGAGGGTGATCAGCACAGCATGGGGGGGGTTTGCCTTCTTCTGGATCAACTGTGGGTGTAGGATTATAACTTTTTTTTTTCTATGGTTGAACTGGATGGACTTTTGTCTTTTTTCAGCCAGACTAACTATGTAACTATGTGACTTTTATTCCCTTTTAATTTCCTTGTAATCTCGTCTCCGGCCGGCCCTTACCTCTGTATTATTAATCTGGCTCTCAAAAACCAGGAGTGAAGGTCCGTTTCAAGCACTGAAGCCATTTACCATCCGTCCTGTAAATGCAGGAGGTGCTCAGGGAAGCGCACAGAGGAATAATGCAAAGTGTAAGAGAAGAATACAACATCCAAAAAAAAAAAAAAAAAAAGTAAGAGCAATCACATGGAGGATCAAACAAGAGCCGTGTGGTGTCACCCGACAACCTTCTGGATGAAATGTCATGGCTGTGTCACCCCGGACA